AATTGCCGCCATTTTAATGGCTCGCCGTTTCTCTGCCCGATAAATGCCACTTCTTCGTTTTCATATGTATTTAGATTACATTATCCAAGAGTACTTCCTTGTAGAACAGTACCAATCCAAAAATTGAAAATATTATTGGTACTTGGGAGGAAAAAACCTCCCATAATAGTTGTCCTGTTTGAATTCAAAAGAAATAATTTAAAAGTCACGCGCAAGTTCGCGAAAACACCTCGTGGGTTACATAACAGGGGGGAGTGAATATTTTCACGAAACGTTTGTTCGCCACCACAGGCCACAGCAACCTAACTAAATACATTATATTTATTGTATATTTGTGATTTATGATAAAAGCAATAAATATTTGCGTATCAATTATAAAAATACAAAAAATATAATACATTTAGTTAGGTTGCTGTGGTGGCGAACAAGGTTTCCCTTTCAGCAAGTTTCTTGTAACAATGATATTTTTAAATTTTCATTTTTCCCAAGAACCACTGTAACCTGGAACAATCTCCCTTTTATCGAACTGCCTGCAAATATCAACGCTTTTAAAAGTGCTGCACTAACTGCATTAAGGGCATCAGCATAATTTTGGCAGGTCACTTTTATTGTACATTTTTACCTTTTAAAGTTTTTCATATATATAGTTCATAGTTATTTTGTTAATGTATATACATATATATAAGTATCTTCTAGTATAGTGTAAGCTGATTTAGGAGTATCAGATTAAAGATTAAAGATTAAACGTTTCGTGAAAATATTCACTCCCCCCTGTTATGTAACCCACGAGGTGTTTTCGCGAACTTGCGCGTGACTTTTAAATTATTTCTTTTGAATTCAAACAGGACAACTATTATGGGAGGTTTTTTCCTCCCAAGTACCAATAATATTTTCAATTTTGGATTGGTACTGTTCTACAAGGAAGTACTCTTGGATAATGTAATCTAAATACATATGAAAACGAAGAAGTGGCATTTATCAGGCAGAGAAGCGGCGAGCCATTAAAATGGCGGCAATTTGACGAAATATCGAAGGACACAATATCGAAGATAAAATACACTGCACTGTTACAAAAGTGGATGAAACCTTCTTTGAAATCTTCTTCAGCCATTTATAATTATGTAAAAATACAATAACTGGATGATATTTGCGAGATTCGGCGATAAAAAGCAAACAAGACGGCAAAATATGGCTGAAATCGTGTTTTCGTGGGGGGTAAGTGAAATAAAATGTATTATATTTAAAGAAAACAATGACAATCCTCATGAAATCAACAATATTTATATTAAATTAAGCATAGTTTTTCACCCCATAATAATTTTTTTTAGGAAATAAGAATATTTAATTTCTGCCAGGCATATTAGTTATTTTGTGCATAATCAGCAATTTACCTGGGGTGGTGCATAGTCATTTCTGGTAAAATATTATACTTAGACAAATTTTTCCTTCCAATGACCACCCCTAAAAGCAACCCTTCTAAACACTCTTTAAGCACTTCAGAAAGGCTATCGCTTTTCCTTTTTGGAAGTTAGAGCTATGTCGACACTGCCGTTTCAGGGCGGGTCATTTTCAGGACTTTCGTCCCGGATTCAGGTTTTCGCACATATGCCATGTTGACCGCCATGGTCATTTTACCCTAAAACAGTTGAGATTACCTGTGCTAAATGAAATGCATACAAACTCATATACAGGTCCTAGACTATTAAATAAAACTTAGATTCTGAGCTCGAATTCCGAGCTCGAATTCCGAGCTCGAATTCCGAACTCGATTCCGAGCTCGATTCCGAGCTCGATTCCTTGGCTCGGTATATAGTATATCTCATACTCGCACGTTTTGAAAAACAACCGGATCTGCAAGCTGAGTTTACAACTTCAGGAAGCGAGCAAGGCTAATCACATTATTAATTACCGCTATAAGATGTCATCAATCCAGGTTCAGTTACTTAAACGCAGTGTGAAACCAAGCAAGTAATAAGTTAATTTTCTGTTATGCATTAAAATAAAAGTGTACAAATATGTCACAATGCTGACTGTTGACAAGTCACCTAGGGCCAGGCTATACTATATAGCGTACAATGTGTAATAAGGCTGCGTATAATATGTAATAATATTAAGACTTGTGTGTTGTAAAACAAAACGTTCTTGGTAGCTTAGAGAATAGCACGATAATTCCATGTCAAGACCGCGGAACATATTTGCCGTTTTAGATCTTGGCAGTATAAAAAGTCCGGCTTCAAAGGCGTAAGTTTTCTATGGCTAATAATAAAGAAACTGACTTATAAAGTTATATAATTATACCGCCTTTCCCTATAGGCCCTAGTGCGCACATGAATCTGGTACAAACGTTTTCACTAACGTATATATCAAATGTATATATTATTCCAAAAACAATAGCTGCATTGACACCATTGTCTTAGCTAATCTACGGAATCTACGCCCGCGCCTGCGTTGTGAGGTAAAGAATAATATAAGACTCCTTTTAAGCTTCCACTGGTTAAGAAAAGATGGGACATCTTCATAACCTGTCAGCAAAAGATGGGACATCTTTCTGACACAAGAGTTTCCACTAAAAGTATTCTAGATATTATTCCCAAACCTAGCGCTATCGCTGCATGCAGCCATGCACCGTTTTACTCTAACTTAGCGTGTTGTAAAGAATAATGTAAGACTCCTTTTAAGCTTCCACTGGTTAAGAAAAGATGGGACATCTTCATAACCTGTCAGCAAAAGATGGGACATCTTTCTGACACAAGAGTTTCCACTAAAAGTATTCTAGATATTATTCCCAAACCTAGCGCTATCGCTGCATGCATCCATGCACCGTTTTACTCTAACTTAGCGTGATGTAAAGAATAATATAAGACTCCTTTTAAGCTTCCACTGGTTAAGACAAGATGGGACATCTTCATAACCTGTCAGCAAAAGATGGGACATCTTTCTGACACAAGAGTTTTCACTAAAAGTATTCTAGATATTATTCCAAAACCTAGCGCTGTCGATGTGGCATACTCCAAATTTGATATTTCAACTATACTCTATAGGTATAGCCACAAAAAATTGGATATTGTCAAATCTGAAAGCCAGGGGTACGGCTCATCTCCGCGTTTACTCATCACTAGCTCGCCCGGGAAATAATCTGGCGATGCCCAGCGTAATGTCTAATGAGAATGATATCAAATTAAGTTCAATGGGCCATTTTAGACTAATTTTCGATTCTT